CCTTGAAACTATAAATTAAGAACATGTACCGTATGAAAATTAAGTAAGTAGGACAGTACAGAAATAAACAAGAAATTAAAACAATTGTGAACTAACCAGTTCTGACTCCACTAGTGACCTGTAATTATTTTTAAGATTTTCTAAATTTTTACAAAAATACGAAATTATACATTGTTAAGTCTCAATTTATCGTAACAGAGAATATGGTGAGGGATCCTTATCCGGATCAGTGTTTCGAAATGTTGCACTCTCTATCACGCCTCCTAACGGGTACTGGGTTTCCTAAATTTTTTTTGCAGAATTAAAAACATTCGTCACATACCTAAAAATACCTTTAAAATCTATAATTGGTGTCCAAAACTTATTCCGGCCAATTTTTGAGTTCTGGCATTGCGGCATCGTCGTGCTCCAGCGCCAGCTCCGCTGCCCACAGCGGTGGTTCGTCTCAGTCTGGCTAGTTTTAACCAGTTTTGACCTGTTTTGATCATATCTCTGCAAAAAAACACGTTATGGGGTGTTGGTTGGCTAGAAAATCACAAAAATCAAACCTACAGGAGATGGGGACCTTCGGGTGCGGCAGCTCTGCCGGTCCTCCTTCACAGTTGAGATTCTTTCTTCGGCTAACCTGCACAGAAAATGACAGTGAATACAATGACCGAAAAATTACATGAAACAGGAAGCAGGAAGCGGGAAGGGGATCATCAGAGGTATTTTGAGGTTTTGGCTATCGCGGTTCTGCTGGACTTTTCCTGCAGTTTTTGGCTCACCCATCGTCCTTCTTGCTCTAATTTTACCACAGGAGTGCTCAGAATTGAGTTCCAAGCAAGTAGAGGGAATGTTTACCTTTTCAGGCAGTCGGTAGTGGCTCCGATTCGGCAGTAATAGGCAGTTGGCCCCCTTCTCTAGCATCTGGTTCTTCTTCTTCGGCGAGGGCTGGCGGCTAGGATTTGGATTTTCGTGTGACGTAAAGTATTTATACTCATTTCGCGTTAATCTGAACTGTCCATCACGATCAATCTTGTCCGTCCGATCACGCCTAAGGAAAAAATAAATCAAGATCATTTATCACGATTGATCTCGACCATCCAATCGCACCTGAAAAATAAACGAATCCTGGTCATCCACGCGCGCGGGATTCATCTTGAACCGTCAGATTGCGGGGCACACAGATCGTCCGCGTGGCATCACGAATGGCACTGACGTCAACGTGCCTTGCCACGCGGCGTGCTCTAGTTCGTCGAAGTTGCTAACTAAGCAGTCCTGCATGGCCGAACTTTCTCTTTTTGCACTTTGACCCCTTATTTCTAAATTTTCTTTTAAAAACAACCCCCAAATCCATACTCATTTTTTCAAAATTGTTTTTAATCTCGCTTCTAATTTATTTTTTCTCAAAATTTTACTTAAAGAAAAATAAAATTAATTATTTATTTATTTTAAATTAATAATTTAATAATAAAAAATTATCTCGAGTTGTTTTTCGGACATGAGTATTACAACTCTTCCCCCTTTAAGAAAATTTAGTTTCTCAAATTGGTCACTCTTTCACTCAGTCGAACAGCTGGGGGTACTGAACCCTGAAGCTTGATTCCAGTTCTCATGTGGTATCTTCCTGCGTATGGGTTCTGTCATAGGACCTTGATGAATGAAATTTTTCGATTGCAGTTCTACTCTCTGATTTACATATTTACCGATAACTTCTCATATGATAGATCATCTTGGAGTAAAAGGGCTCGTC